ACTCTTATCTGCCTAGTAGATGTGTGGGAACCTTCTCTTCTTTTTTGGGGGGGGGGGTGGTACAGTTTTACAATTGCTCATTTTGATTTTTGATTTGGGTCCTTGGGGATATAGGAGTTTCTTATGTTAAGAGGAGCAACATTAGCCCTCTACTTTTTTCTCCTGTTCGTATTGTACCTTACCCATTTTCATATATTTTGGAGATGAGTCTTTTTCTCATCCATTACTAGATAGCAAGCTTCAAAGTGGTCCTAGGGTGCAGATAGGGCTTTCTTCTGTCTACTACCCGTATCACCACTTTATCCACCTCTGTGTGTTCCCATTTCACTATTATCTGATAACTACATTGTGGTTTTCTGTGTGTCCAGAGCTATTATCAGGATCCCCTTGGTTCAAGGGTCTCCTTTATTTTTTATTATGGGTTCTTATTTAATAACCTTAGCTAATTTCTTCTTTTTTTTTATAAATTCTTTATTTTTCTTGTGCATTTGATTACATAACAGAGGTACCTGTAGCGCCACGACAGCACTTACAGGCATTTCAATGGCATACATTGTCGTGGCAGAAATAAACAGCACATTTTTGTGAGAAAAATAACAGACTGGGAACATTTTAAAGTTTTTAAACATGCTAGATCCAGGCTAGCTTTGTATGTCTGTTGCGGTGGGTCACGATGGGGTTGTCAAGCTTGAGACAGTTAACATACAGTGGTTCTAGCGTATATAGTAGTGGTTAGATACTATTAAACATTGCCTAACTAGCTAAGGGTATCGGTCGATGCCACAACAGCTTAGGTAAGTACGGCATCTTCACTGTAATTCGCAGGCATGGCATTACAGTAGTAGCACACTTTTGTTTACGGTGTAGGCAATATAAACAGGCTTATTGAATTCTGTCAGGCGATTAACAACATGCAGTATGAACACCAACAGGTTATATTAGCTGACAGAGTTTGGTGCAGTCAAATGCTTAGAGAGTGGGTTCAGGTTAAATCTCTGAGCTCTGGCTGTGCCTGACCTGAGTGTCCCAGGAGGCTCCCTCTAGGATCCCTTTTTTTTTTTTTTATTTATATACATTTTTATTTTTCAATTTAAAATTTCATCCATATACACACTTTCAGAGAAAAATAGGTTTTAAAATATTACAGTAAATTGAATATTGTATACATTGTTAGTAAAACCATATTTTGTACATTTATACGCTGACTACAATCAAAATCAATAGATTACATACATTGACCTCTTTCTTACACTTCCACATAAAGTTGCTACATTACCTAAGGCAGGTTGTCATTAGGGGGAGGGGGGTTTTAGGTTTTAAGACTAAGATATCTATTCCAAGGGGCCCAAATCTCCTCATATTTCTCTTTGGATACTTTATTTATTGCTATACCTGCTTCCATCCTGCATTGATAATCCACTTGTACACAAATATCTTGCCAAACTAACGGGCCCATAATTCTCCAATTTCTAGCCATAACTAGTTTGATTGCCGTAAAGATGTGGATCATAAGAATTTTTAGTTTTATATTGACCCTTGGCATGTCTAAATGAAACAGCAGCGTTTGTACCTTCAAAATAAGATTTACCAGATCCGATAAAGTAACTTTCATAGGTTTCAACTCATCACAGTCCCACCATATGTGAGAGAATGAGCCTAATTCCCTGCCACATCTCCAACAGTCTGGTAGAAATGTGGGTTGAAATTTATGAAGACGAGTGGGCACCAGATACCATCAATATACAAGTTTAAAATACACTTCCCGTATATTTACCCCACGAATATATCTTTTTACTAATTCTAGGCCCAAAAGCCAATCTTCAACCGGAAAAGAAAAATGGAGTTCTTGCTCCCATTTATTCATTGCTGACGCTTTATCTATTTGCCTTTGGCTTCTTATAAATTGGTTAAATCTGGAGGCAATTTTTTTCCTATGATGGGATGCTATAAACTGGTCAATTTGAGAGGTTTCTGAAAAAGTTTTTCCTATGATAAAAGATTTTATTCTTAAATAATTGAATATTTCTTTAGAAGGGAGGTTATATTTGAGCTGTAACATTGGAAATGACAATATTTTATTATCGTCTAATAATTCCGCAAATTTTGTAATTCCGCACTTTTCCCATTCTTGAATATTTATATCTTTTATATAAAGTTTTAAGCATGTTAATGGGGCATTTCTTGATATATGCTTAGTACCATATTTTTTCTTTAAATATTTTACTATATAGATCATTGTATTATTCATCGGATTGTTAGATTTTATGTTTTTTACAAATTCACTATCGCACCACATAAGAAATAGAGGTTCGATATTACCAAAATCCGATTTTTCAATATCTAACCAAGTTGGTCTTGATATTGTAAAGTTATCGCACTTGATTAAATGTACTACCATATTAATCATATATAATTTTTGTACGTCCGGAAAAGAAACTCCCCCCTCCTTCCAATCTCTCTGTAAAATTTCCAATGACACTCTAGGTCGCCTGCCCTGCCATATATAATCTAATATTAGTTTTTGAAGACCGCGTATCGTCTGGGATGACACCCTCAGCGGGAGATTACCAAATAAAAATGTCAGTTTAGGGAGTAGGTAGGAGTTTACTGCTTCGATTCTTCCCATCCAAGACAGTTCTAACCCTCTCCAGTTTTTTAAGATACTCCTGAATTGGGTAGCAATTTCTGTATAATTAAGTTCTCCAATTTCTCTATACTCCAAAGATAATCTTACCCCTAAATACTTTATATTCCTGGCTTCCCAGTCGCATTTAAATTCCTTCTTAAGTTTTTTTTCCCCGGGCCCAACTTTTGTCAGAATTTGTGTTTTATTTATATTTACTTTATAGCCGGAGATTTTGCTGTATTCTTTAATAAGACAAAATACGGCTGGAATAGATCTAATAGGATCCGTAAGAGTCAATAGAACATCATCTGCATAAAGTGCAATTTTATTCTCCAATGTGTTCACCTTTAACCCAGTGATACCCTCGCTCTGTCTGATCGCGGCTGCCAATGGCTCTATGGAGAGGATATATAACAGGGGTGCCAAAGGGCAGCCCTGTTGCGTCCCATTTCTAATTGGGAACCATTTCGATTGAAACATAAATCCTGATACTCTGGCTTGGGGATCTGTATATAATGCCATTGTACACTCCTTAAAAACACCATCTATGCCAAAGGCCTTCAAAACCTCTTCCAAGTATTTCCAACTGACACGGTCGAAGGCCTTCTCGGCATCGAGGGTGACCAAGGCAAAAGGGGACGAGCTTTGACTTGCATGATATAAAACATTCATTAATTTCCTGATGTTGTCAGACGTACCCCTACCTTCTACAAACCCACTCTGATCTAAATGTACAATATCTGGTATACTTCGTTTAAGTCTATCAGCCAAAATTCTAGAGTACACTTTAATGTCTAAATTAATAAGAGAAATTGGTCTAAAGTTTGAAGTATATATTGGGTCCTTATCTGGTTTAGGGATTGGCATTATAGAAGCCTGAAGCAGTTCTGATGGAATATCTTTATGAGTAGCGAATTCGTTGAATGTCTTCAATATGTATGGGGAAATTATATCATTTAATTTTTTATAAAATATCGATGAAAAGCCGTCTGGTCCTGGGGCTTTGCCCGCTGCTAATGCTTTAATCTCCTGAATGGAGAATGGGGCATTTAGCTGACTTAATTTCTCAATAGATATTTTTGGCAGGCTTAATTTGTCCAGGAACTGCTGTATTTCCCCTTTGGACTCATTAAGTTTTAAATTGTATAAACTTTTATAATATTCTTCAAATGCGTTAGCTATTTGAGTTGGCGAAAAAAGTTTTTTATTTCCAGCTATTATAAATTTTATAGATTGAAGTTTATTTTTATTTTTTAATTTATTTGAAAGATTTTTCCCTGTTTTATTGTTTCCATAATACCATTCCTGCTTTAATATTAACATTGCTTTATTTATTTTCTCTTGAGTTCTTACTAGGATTTTTTTTCTAATCTCCTTAATATCTTCCAAAATGTTATAGTCTGAAGTAATCTTATGAAGACGTTCCAGTTTTACCAAATCGATATTAAGCTCATTCAACTCTCTTCCCTTCTTTTGTTTTATATTAGCACCCAATTTTATAAGATATCCTCTCATATATGATTTAAAAGTACACCACAACATAGCATTTGAAACATCCCCAGTATCATTACTTTCGAAAAACTCTCTTGCCTGAGTACGCATTTCTTCTGTATTAATTTCCAATTTTAATAAAGTTTTATTTAATCTCCATCTATCTCTGCGTTTATATTCGGCGTTATTTTTTATAACTAAGCATACTGGTGCATGGTCAGACCATATTATAGGTCCAATTATAACTTTGCTGACTCGATCCAAAGTATCAGCCCTAACCAGAAAGTAATCGATTCTAGTATATGACTGATGAACGTTTGAATCCCTTTTTTTTTTTTTGAGGTTGAGACTAATAACAATACTAGTGTGGCATACATACATCAACAGTTGCGACGTAAACATGTGTTGGTTAACTGTCATATGGTATGCTTGATATTGTATTGTGTCCAAGCTAGTTGTGGGTTAATCGCTTTATGTGTGTGAGGGTACCGGCTAGACTACCTGTCAGTAGGGTTAAGAAGGAATCAGAGGACTAGCCATGTGCCTCTCATCTCGACAGTGGTGTGTGTGTCTTGTGTAGTCGGCTAGTGTAATTTAGTCCCCATAGGCAGCCCCTCTATAACAATGGCTACTCTCGGTGGCAGTCTCAGTGAATCCCATAGGAACTGTCACCAAGAGTCCCATGAGTCCTGTCAAGTGGCCCATCTCAGCCGATGCGCCCACGTGGCAGGTGGTGTGCAAGCCTCCCAGTGAGCTGTTTCAGGGCATATCCAGCAGGTGCCTGGTGGTAGTGCAGGAGCTCTGTTGTTGTCAGCCAGGCTTTAGGCAGTACCGCTCTCTGAGGGTGCTTCCTGGTGGACCTCTGCATCCTCGTTGTCCGTCGCTAGGGCTGTGCTTGCCGTTTAAGCAGACGTCGTGGGAGCTTCAAACTTTCGTGGTAGGCTCTGATGCAAGGGAGCGCGGGTATCCGGGCAAAGCTGTACCGCTCTGGTGCGTGAACCACGGGTTGGCGCTCGGGCCCTCTTGATTCACCGCCTAGGAAGGGGACGCCGAACCGGACTTCTGCCTGGAGGCTGTGTTTCAGGCCTAGGAGGTGCAGGTGGCTGTCGCCTTTTCTCCCATCCCTCCCAGAAATGTCGGCATATGGTGTCGAACCGATGCAGGATTCCTGCCATCCAGCCATCTTGGATCGTCTGCTCATCACACCTGTCGTTGTCCTCGGCCATTTTGTACAAGGCCTCGTGTCGATTGAGAGGTAAGTGCCTGTTTAGTGTGGGCCAGGATAACCCCCGCCGGCCCAAAGGGGGGGGGAGTACGGGGCTCTGAGCCCCGGGCTGAGAGATCGTCCGTTTCTCCCGCCAGGAATTCAGGCCTCTACAAGCCGAGGGCCGCAGCTGTCGATTAGCTGGTTTAAGGGTACCAGAATTCTCACAAACTTTGCTCCAGATACCATCTGGAGGGGCTTCGGTGTTGGGGTATTTTGTCCCACAAATTGCTATTTAGTCGGTTTGAAGCAGGAGCTCATGCAACCTGGGACCATTCAGTATGGCGTCCAAGCCCCGCCCCCCAACCTTAGCTAATTTCTATGACCCAATTAAATTAAATTTTAAATATTTGTCTAAGTTAAGAACATTTCAAGAAAGGATTGTTATTGCTGGAAATTTCAACCAGATAATTGATCCCAAATAAGTCATTCAGACGGTCATACTCATATCCCATATAATGCTCTTTAAAAGTAAAGAAAGCTTTTATACTGTCCCTACTGGTTGATAGCTGGTGTGGCTTATATCCAGAGTACAAGGAATATGCATATAACGCATATCTTCAAAAATAGTAGAAGTATAAACTGCAATATCTCCGCTGGTAGACGTAATCAGCATTCAAATAAAGGGTAGCGCAGTAAATCCAATCCCATTCCCCAACAACTGGATGAAACACAGTTTTGGGAATCAACTGAACTTTTATTGAGCCACAGCTGGCTTTATACAATTCCCCATGCAAGGGGATTCCTTAATGACATTCCAGGGTTTTTCCCCGGGTGGACCTTGTGGAAAACTGAGAACAAAGTTACATTTCCCATGATCCTTTTCTGTACTGGGAAGGTAATTGCGTAAGAACGATTATTTAATTAAATGATCTCCCAGTAAAGAACATTAAACATAACTCCTATAATATTTATCAGACACTTCACTGAATAGCTGGGATCTGATCACCCAAGCTGTCGAAATACCGCTCAGATCCATTCTCTAGAACAGAAAAGCCATTTGAGTGAAGTTTTGGACCGGTCAGCCACAAGGTGAAGTCCCAAATTAGTTCCAGGCAGTTGAATGCTTTAACCGGTCTCCTTTCGGGAGTTCTTACGAACAAACCGACAAATGCACAAATTCACAAACTGGGTAGTCGTGTCTGGGGATCGGTTGTTTCATTTAGTAGAATTCCGCTCTATTTGGATGAATGGAAGTACATGTACGAACAAGATGGAAGTCTAGCGGTGTTCGCGAGTTTGAGTGTCCAATTTTAGTTCCTCGCAATCGCCGACAAAACACCGCTGGGTGTTCGTGCGTCAAGAAGGCCGCCGCCACGTGTTGGTTCATACGAACAGCGACCACCCATCCGACCATTATGATCTAGCTGTTTCAAAATGTTGCAAATCCTCAACTAGAGACACACGACTCCACTGTGTGGACTCTCATTCAGTAGTTGGTTCAACTTCACAAACAATATGTCCATGTTCTGTTCGTGAAGTAAAAATAGACGAACCAACTTAGTATTTTGCACAATGAAGTGGCTAGTTTTGCCTCAAATATATTCCTAAAATAAAAGAGAAACAAGAACAGTACTGGCATCGATCATAGGATATAGTAAGTATATTTCAATTTTATTGTGACCTATATAATATCCAGGTAAGTAATATGGAGGAAATTAATAAAGATTCAAAAAAGAATATGGAGATATATCTGGAGAAATATTTTAAGTATAAAATTCCGAATGAACAAAGTAAGGAGTTGGGAAATTTAATTACTTTAGAAGATATAGAAAAGACAGTTCCTTGCAGGGAAAAGTCCGGGACCAGATGGTTTCTCTATTTTATACTACAAAAATTATCAACTTAATTTTTGGCAGAAATGTTTAATGCTATTCTAGTAGGAGAGGGCTGGGATTAAATGATGTTATAGGCTGTAATCACTTGAATCCATAAAGAAGGGAAAGAGTTATATGAGATTTATGAGTGTTGTATTATGTCCATCTATAATTCACCAACAGCTGGGTTCAGAGTAAATGGAATAGTTTTGGATTAGTTCTCTATGGCTAACAGGACAATGCAAGGGTGTCCGTTGTCCCTACTGTTATTTTTCTGATTCTGGAACCATTTTTAAATGCAATATGGATGAATAATAAGATACAGGGTTTCTGGAACCAACAGGAACAGTGGGCTGCATATGCCAATTGTGACAAACTGGACCTCGTCACGGGTTCTTGGAGGGGCATACTTGCCAGCCTCTTACCCTGTGACTATGGCCCCTGTGTTAAACCCTAATTGAAAACACTATTTGTGCCTCTTGGACTGGTAACAGGAACCATTCAAAGTGGCATTCGAACACGTAGTGGCGGCCATCTTGTTCGCATAGACCAAAACCGCGAATAGACTTCAGGGGGACTTAGCCATGAATGCCATGGAACTAATTTCAGCCTGAAAACCTCACGGTTCCCGGTTGGTCCTCCAGCAGCACTTAGCCGCGATTCTGTGGAACTATTTTCGGCTATGGGACCATGCCTGCGATCGTTAAAAACTATGACTTCCACAAACTTTCTGATCCCCTGAACTGATCTGGATGATTTTTGGATATGTTGGTCACCCAGATCAGGGCTATCAGGGGATGCTATGTGTTTTGGGGTACTTTTGGAACTTTTTAGAAATGTGTGTTTGGAGGTTATTGAGTTTAGTATGGTGTTAGACTCTATCTCCTAGTTAAAGGTGAAGGCTTATTGTATTGTATGTGGGGGTGTCATACATTGTAGATGTGTTATCATTGGTTTGTAAGTTTGTGTCCCTGTCCCCAGCAAGGTCTATGTGGACATATACCTTGCTTGGGGATTGTCATAAAAGGCCAGTGTGGCACCATCAAAATTCAGTTCCTGCTTAACCCTCAATACATAGCCTCATCTTGTGATTGTAGGGAACAGCTATACCACAAGCTCTTATAAGAGTTCGTGGAGTCTACGGTGCTTATGGTGTCTGGTGCGGTGCTTATGGTCCTCAGCATCAGCTAGGAAGCATCGAATGGCGGAGGTACCCAGTCAGGGTACCAGGGGGTCCAATAAAGATGGCAATACCCCAACCAAGCTGCGGAAACTTGTGGTTAATGGCATTTACCATCCTGACAGGAAAAATTGTGTCGAGAAGCAATCATGCACAAGGAAACCTTGTAATTGCTTTTTGAGGTCAAAGGTCAGTTATGGCCAATCAAATCCACATGAGGGTTTGTGCTGAGCAGCAATAATGCACATGGAAACCTGGTAATTGCTTTTGGGGTCAAAGGCCAGTTACAGCCAATCGGATCCACAGGAGGTGTATTTAAACACAATTCTCCTTTTGCTTATTGCCCTGTCGCGGTTTGATCCCGATGGTAAACCGAGAGTGCATTCCCAATCTTGATTTTCTGGTATTTGACTTTGGCTTCGTTTTGATTTCCCTGAATTCTGGTATCCTTGACTTTTGGCTTTTCCTCATCATTGTGTCTGATTCTGTGTTCCTGACCTTGGCAAGTACTTTGACTATTCTTGGATACGTTAAGTCCAGCCATTCTAAGATCCGGTTATACATTATCCTTAGTCCTAGATGTGACACAGTTCTGCATGCTGGATCAACAGTAATCCTGACATTATGGTCCTCAGTGTCAGCTAGGAAGCATCGATTAACGGAGGTACCCAGTCAGGGTGCCAGGCGGTCCGACACACTAATGATGTCGTGTTGACTGTTACAAACTCATTAAAATCACTACATTTTGCATCTAAAGGGATCCTATAGTGTCAGGAAAACAAAACTGTTTTCCTGGCACTATAGGCTCCTGGAGTGCCTACCTCTCTTGTGCTCCCCCTCCCACAGGGCTGAAGGGGTTAAGACATGAATCCAGTGCCGATGTCCCTCGGCGCTGAGTCAGGCTCCACCCACGCTCCTGCCCCACCGACGTCAGCCGGCAGGGAGACCTAATGTGCAATGGCCTCGCGCGCCTTAGACCTCTCCATAAGAAAGCATTATTCAAATCTTTACTATGGGGAAAATCTGACGCTGGAGGTCTATGAGGACGTCCAGCATCAGATAACGGACCAAAAGTCTGTTTGGATTCCAGAAGCCCTCTAGGGACTGTCTGGTAGACAGCCATAGAGGACAGACTTAGACCTGCAATGTAAACATTGCAGTTCTCTGGAAATGCAATGTTTAACATTGCAGGACTAAGTACAAAAGGGTCAGAGCACCCAGACTACTTCAATTAGCTGAAGTGGTCAGGGTGCCTACAGTGTCTCTTAAAGGCACTGAAAGAATACAGTTACCTTTCAAATTTTATTGTAAATACTTCTAAGTGTGAAGTCTTGAGAATAAATATGAACTTGGATCAAAGAAAGGAGATTATGAAAAAATGCCAACTTAAAGGGGTGCATCAGGCACTTAAATATCTAGGTATCATGATCTCCCAACATTAAAGATCTATATACTTTTAAATTAATTGTATCCCATTACTTAAACAAACTGATCTAAACTTAAGAAACTGCACGTCTCCATATATTTAATGAGAATGTCAGTGATATTAATGAATATTATCCCTAGGATTCTTATTTTTGTTCTAGTCTATCCCAATCCTGATACTAAATACCATTTTAAATCAGTTTAGACAATTGATTAATATATTAATATAATATATACAGTTGTGCTCAAACGTTTGCATACCCTGGCAGGAATTGAAGATTATGCTAGCTTAATTTTAGTAATGACAGGAGGCGAGTGTTTTGCATAATCTCTCTTTGCTAGCTCCACACAGCAGCAAAGAAACACATAGAAAAAAAGAACCAATCACAAGAGAGTAGGATGTACATAAGACCTAATGACCTCATCATTTCTTCTTTCAGAAAGCGACATTACGCGGAAGTAAACATATAGCAAGCAAAACAATAACTCTTAAATTC